AAAGCAACCTAGGGTTTGAAATGAGGTTTTAGGGTGGGCTCTAATTCCCTGTAGTCTCTCAGTTTAGGTTCTAAAAAGGGTATTCGAGTTCTCCTTACTGGTGCCCCCTTGGGCTTTCCAGACCCTTAGTCCTAAGTCCATTACAAGCTCATGTGGACTAAGTTAAACTCGAGAGGATACATTCCTTTATGCCCGCACGGTGAATAAATTCACACGAAGATATAAGGTATATGAATCCTGAAGATTACTTGCTAGGCCTGTGCGGAGAATAAATTCTCACGAAGGTGTCGCTTTCGCCCCCACTTAAAAGGGTTCAGAGCTCGGGTATAGTGCCTTAGATGGAAAAAAGCTTAAAATGCTGAAATCATTGAAAGAAACCGTCAGTACAACTATTTATTTGAAAAACATAATCAAATGTAAGTAATAAGGATCAAAAAGTTACCTTAAAATTTAAACTTATCATTTTCATTAAAAAGACAACTGGAAATTACCTTAGCCTGACTCACTTACCTATCCCCAGCAGAGTCACCAAGTTGTCGCGATCGTCTTTCAGGTTGGCTCGAAATTGGGCTTCGACTTGAATAAAACGAATTAGAGTCACCACCAATCATTTATTTTAAAAACAAATAGGTTGATCGGATATCTTTATTTCTCACATGATCTGCATCTTACCAAAGATATGTCAGATTCGGGAGTCTGTTACAGTCAAGAAATGGTTAGCACCTTTGAACTGCCCTTTCGGTACTACGTAATTTCTAGTTGTCTTTAATTAAGAAAATTGAGAATTTAAATTAGAAGGTAACAATTGATCCTGATTACTTACCTCCGATCGGTTTGAGAAGTGTACCCTTAAAAGGGTAGAAATGTTAGATTTGTAGTGAAGTATGGAATCGAATTAGGACAGAAAGTGCGCACATATGAAAATAATAAATAGAACAAAGAAGAGAAAAATAAAATAAGTAAAAATAAAAATAAATAAATTGGTATCATAAATAAAAATAAAACAAAATGAAAAAAATAAAACAAAAACAAAGAAAAATAAAATAAAATAAAAAATAAAAATATATATATAATAATAAGATATGGTATTTAATAAAATAAGTAAAAAAAACCCGTAATAAGAAAAAATAATAAAGATATATATGCATAGAAATATTATGTAAAAACAAATAAATATATATACATATATAAATAAATATTAGGAAAACAAAATAAAAGAAAAAAAGAAAAATATATATATAAATAAGTAGAATAAAAAGGAAATAATAATATGAATAATAATAATAATAATAATAGTAATAATAAAAATAAAAATAAATAAATAAAATATATATAATAAGAAATAAAATAAAATAAAAAAGAATAAAAAGAATAATAAAATGATTAAATTGAAAGGAAAACAAAATCGAGGGTGACTTTAAAAGGAAATTCGGTGTGCAAATTCGATTTAGGGGGCAAAATACACGTGTAGAAAATACGAGGGACTGAAATAGGGATTTCTCCATTACTTTCGAAAACATGTGGACCCTACGAAGTGGATCGAGTCAAGGCGCTGGTCACCAAGTGTCCACGGGTCACGCATAAAACTCAAACTTTGGACTTAAAATTTCATTTTCTAATGTTTAAACACAAACCGCTCCCCCTATTCAAATTTTTCTTTCGTTTGTTCTTCACTCTTGAAGAACGACCACAGTGGTTTCCAGAAACCTGTGGCCCATCGTCTCACCGGCCGTTGTTGATCGACGTCGGCTGTTGGTCATCGACGGTGAAATCCATTTTTTTTTTGCTTTTTCGAAAGATATCCTCCTCTTCTTTTAAAATCCAAGCTTTAAAAACATGCATCGGGAAGCTAGATCTAAAAAATAGATCTCGAAAGACCCTCCCCATTCATCGGCAAAAACCATTTTTTGGGGTTTTTAGGGTCAAAAAACAAAGAGAAGACAACAATGACTCTCATGCAAGTGTAAATCCGAAAAAAGGTAAGACATTTACCTTGTATTTCTCTTCGAAAGTTGTACAAAATGCTTCAAATACTTTCGTATTTTCTTCCTAAGTTTCGTATTTATTTCGTGAGTAATATATGTGTCTTCTTGAGTTCCATTTACATAGGTATTTATAGGTAAATCATTCCCTATTTTTAAACTCTATATTTTTTAGTCCTAATCGAACTAAACTACTCCTTTTTGTTGCTTGTTGGTTCGTGGGTTGTTGTCGAGGAAACCGGTCGGAAAACTCACTCACTTGGTTCGGCATGCGTGAGGGAGATGCGGCATAGAGGAGAGTGGCTTGCTAGAATTTTGGAAACCCTAGCCTTCCGGGTCGAGTCGAGCTCTGTGGACCGGTTCGGGTCTTGGCCTGCCCGTCAAGTCATGGGTTCTGAGCGTGTAACTTGGGTCCACTGTGGGCTGCTTGTAACTTGTTTATTGGGCTGTACAAAACAAAGAAATTATTTGTATTAGTAAAATAATAATAATATAATATAAAAATATATACACTATACGATATACGCGTAATATTATATAGTATGAATATGCAACACATATATATTGTATAATGGACGAAATCATGTGTCTACATGATAAAATTTATATTTAAATAATTACATGTTTTTTTATTAAAAATAATTTCATATTTCATCCCAATAGTACCCACCTCTTTGACCAGTGACGGGTCAATAAATAATGGAGTTCCAATTGTAAGAGGAAGAAAGAAAATTTTCATAAAAACCCAATTTTTATTAATTAAAAAAGATTTCACATTGTGCCGTTTTATACCTTTTCATCTGATTCGCACCTAACATCGCTTCTTTCGTCCCAATTTCACTTTTTCTGTCTCCGTCTCTTGAGTTGAATTGAAAGAGACCCCATTTCTTCATTTTTCTACTAATATTATTATATACAAAGAGAAACCAAAGTCTTACCCATTGAACCCTCGAATTCAAATAATTTCTCCGTGTTAAGAAGAAAACCCATAATTCCTTTTGCTTCTTCGTTCGACTAAAACCCTTCCGAATCTTATTCGGTTGAATTTAAATCAACATTTCCTGTCCTGTCTGTGTTTTCTTTCTTTTCCTCTCCCTTTTAGTCTCCACAGATATTTTAGTGTTCTCAATACCAAAAAACAGGGGGGAAGAAACTGAAGATAAAGAAGCGGAAATGAGAAAATGGAGTTTGTGGGCAAATCCGTGAAGAAAGAGTTCAAAGGATTTGGTCTTCACTCTGGCACTGTTGATTCCTTTGATTCCTCATCTGGGGTTTTCAAGATCCTTTACGAGGACGGCCATTCCGAGGAACTGGACCTTCATCAAGTTGCTTCTCTTGTTATGGCTGATACTTCTAACCCAACCCTTGACCCGAGATCCGACCCTGAGTTTGGGGTTTTCCGTGAGAAGCCGAGGGTTGGAAGGCCCAGAAAACGACGCCGTGTTCAGAGGAAGGTTCGTGTTTGTCCTGGTACTGCAAATAAAGAAACCCTAACTATTGATACAAGTTTGAATTTAAATACGAATGTTGATCTGAATGAAGGTTTTGCTGGGGATTTGAAGGAGGATGAGGTTATTGATGGGAATTTGAGTGAAACTCTAGATGATAAGGGAATTGGATCTACGAGGGATTTGAATTTAAATAGGAATGGGGACATTGAAATGAAAAATGGGTTTGACTTGAATTCTTCTGGGTTTGATTTGAATCTTAATGATACTTGTAGTAATAATCATTTAAATGATAATGGAATTTCTTGTGGTGGGGGAGAGAACGTGAAGAAAAGAGGGTTTATTGATTTGAATTTGGATGCGAGTTGCAATTTGGATGATAATATCAATCTTAATTGCAAAACCCAAGGGAAGGAATGCGGTTTTGATTTGAATTTAGGGGCTGAGGAGGAGGTTGAAAAAGATGCTATTGATGGTAACTGTGGATGGCAAGTGGAAGTGAGGGAATCTACCACTTGTGCTAAGATACTTAAAGAAACACAGATAATTGAGCAAAATGATGTTGCAGAGGGTGTTTCTAATTCTAACAAGGAATTGAACGGAGATCATTCAGATTTTAGGTCTGTTGAAGGAATCCTTGAGAAGGGTGCTGTTGTGGATCTGGATGTTGTCAAGGCTGATGGTTGTGGTGCTGTTGGGTTAGAGGGTGTCCCTGAGTCTGTTGCTGCAGTAATTGATGGGTGCCAAGTTGATATCGGAAGTGCATGCAAACAATCTAGTGGTCAGAGAAAGAGAATAAAGGTTGGAAAGGACTTGAAATCTTCAACAGAAAGGGTCTTAAGAAGAAGTGCTCGTAGAGGGTCTTCTAGAAATCGCGTTTCAAGCTCACCACCACCTGCTTCATGTGCTGTTTCTGGTTTGGCAACATCTCCTTCAGTTAGTGTAGTAACAGAGGAGAAACCGATTAGTTCAGGTCGTGAAGTGTCTGAAGAGCCTGTTGTTCTTCCTCCAAAACTGCAACTACCACCATCTTCCAAGAATTTGAATTTGGATGGGATTTCTGTACTTGATAGTTTTTCTATTTATGCTTGTTTACGGTCATTTAGTACTTTATTATTTTTAAGTCCCTTTGAGTTGGAGGATTTTGTGGCTGCACTGAAGTGCCAGTCTCCCAGCACATTATTTGATTGTATTCATGTTTCCATTTTGCAAACTCTGAAAAAGCATTTGGAGTACTTATCTAATGAAGGTTCTGAATCTGCTTCTGAATGTTTAAGGTATTTTTTCTCTTTCCATTTCTATTCCCTCTCTTGCTCTTGCGTTTCCAGCATTGTTTTTGTATGCCAGTTAAGATTGTTTAATATTTTTTGTTGATCATACAATGTAGGAGTCTTAATTGGGGTTTCTTGGATTCTATTACATGGCCCGTTTTCTTGGTCGAGTATCTACTCATTCATGGTTCGGGATTGGGTTATGGTTTTGATCTTACTAGTCTGAAACTATTCAGAAGTGACTATTATATACTACCTGCATCTGTTAAGGTTGAGATACTTAGGTGTTTGTGTGATGATTTGATTGAGGTTGAAGCTGTAAGAACTGAGATTAATAGAAGGTGTTTGGCATCTGAGTCTGATGTGGATTTTGATCGAAATATGAACAATGGAGTTTGCAAGAAAAGAAAAGCTGTCATGGACGTATCAGGTGGATCTAGCCTAAGTGAGGATATAATTGACGACACTACTGACTGGAATAGTGATGATTGCTGCCTTTGTAAGATGGATGGGAGTTTAATCTGCTGTGATGGCTGTCCTGCTGCATACCATTCAAAGTGTGTAAGTGTTGTGAATGATCTTTTGCCAGAAGGTGACTGGTATTGCCCTGAATGTGCAATTGAAAGAGAGAAGCCTTGGGTGAAACCTCGTAAATCACTTAGAGGAGCGGAGCTTTTGGGCATTGATCCTCATGGTCGGTTATACTATAACAGCTCTGGTTACTTGTTAGTGTAAGTTCTTTTTACCCAGTTTTTTAAATAATGTTTTCTAGTACTACCTTTGTTGATGAGTCATTAATGCATGTCTGTATTATGAATTGGAAGTTCTCTCCTGGCTTATTGATGAAGAATGATCATAACCCTTGTCTTTTTTTTTGACCTATCATTTCCCTCCAAATTCTTATTAAGTTTGTCAGAAATTGTTTTAACAGTTACTTGTAGCTATTATTAACCTATTGTGCGAAGAAGGCAATAACTTGATGAGTTGTTGTATTTATATATATATATAATCCTTTAACCATGAAATATTCATGTCATTATCCATACAAATGGTATGTGATATAGAGACATCATTGAAACAGCCTTTAACAGCCATCCTCACCATTTATGACAGTTTGTGTTGCCTTGTTTTACAGAAGAATCGTTTTATTTGACATGATTATGATCTTTTGGGAATTTCTAATGTCCATATAAAATCTGCAGATTGACTGTTAGCGTGCTTCTATTTTTTAATCATAGTCTGTGAATGATATTGTTGTACAGTTTTTTACCCAAATTTTTTGTTGTGTATTTCTGTTTGAGAGGTTGCTGAAGATAAACAGGAAACCCTATCTTCTAATCTTATGTTTAAAACTTTTATGAATCACAAAACTAGAGACGGCAACTTCAATAGTTTGTGACTTGTTACAGTAAAATAATAAAATAATTTATGAACAACAAACACTAGATTTCATATTCTTTTGCGCATGTCCAAAAATCAGTTACCATTTAGAATTTTGTGTTATCCATAATGAATTATATTTCTTTCTAATAAACTAATTTGATGGATGAGTATTTTATTGTGTCATGATAGAATTTGAATTGCTTTGGACTATTACTCTAAGTGATTTGGTTTCTGCCAGTGTTTGTGTCCATTTCTGAATGTGTTGTCCTTTATTTCCCCAATCTTTGTATATGTCAGATTCCATTTGTGTCTTAAGCAGGGTACAAGCATTTATTTCCATCATCTAATATCATATGGACACAGAGGTTTACTTATGTCACTGTTAATGACTTCCAATATGTTGCTTCTGCTGTTACTGACATTTTGTTGTTGATATTGCAGATTAGATTCATTTGATGCTGAATACCCATCGAATTACTACCATAGATATGACCTCAACCTTGTACTTGATGTGCTAAAATCTTCATGCCAATACAGTGACATACTAAAAGCGATTTGCAAGCAGTGGGATGTAGCTGTTGGCTCAAATGGTGATAGTAATAACTTTGAATCTCTGAATTCTGCTTGTTCAGAGACACATAGAAAGGGACAAATTCGTACTGTTAGCTCACCCCTGCCAACTGTTTTTTCTGCAGAAATATGTACCATAAAGAATGAGGCTGCTTCTTGTGGAAATCCAGAAGCGAAAGTAGTTGCTGGAAATTCTGGTTGTCATAATATTGAGTTGGCAGAGTCGGCAAACATGTTGGATTTGGTGGCTGGAACAGAAATTCCACATATGAGTTCTGAAGGGTCAGCTGAAACAATGCAAATGGGTTCAGTCTTTCCTAACTTTCGGAAACAGGGATCTGTTGAGGTCTCAATCCAATTTGAGATACCAGGAAGATGTTCAACTCTTGAAGATGGTTCTTCGGTATCTAATGTTTTAGATGCTAAGCACGAAAGCAAGAGAAAGTTAGCATCTCCCCATGCTTCACGTGTAATAAATGCAAAAAGAGGTGATGCATCGCAATTGCAGCCTGGGAATGGCTACATGAACCGCTATAGTTTTGCCCAAACTGCCACATTAGTTGTAGAAGAGTTGATGCTTAAGCCAGCAGAAAAAACAAATGATGATTCCCTTTTACCGCTGGAGGAAATAATTGCGATGCAGATGAAGGTTATTTTGAAGAAATCCAACAGGTTTCATTGGCCGGATATTCATAATATGTACGTAGATTCTCGTAAAGAAAATTGTGGGTGGTGCTTCCCCTGTAGATATCCTGTGGATGATACAGATTGCTTGTTTAAAATTGCTTCGGGTTGTGTTCCGGAAGTTTCAAAAAGTGAGATGGTTGATCTTCAGTCAAGGTGGAATAAAAAGGGTCATGTTATAGATGTAATGTGTCATATATTTTCCATCGAAACTCGTTTGAATGGGCTTCTTTTGGGTCCATGGCTGAATCTACACTACATGAAGATCTGGCATAAAAGCATTCTCAAGGCATCTAGTATTGCAACTGTTAAACATTTATTGCTAACGGTAAGTATTTTCTAGTTATTTTCTGTAAAATGTAGAAATTTCTGTTTTATATGTTATTGCTAACTCTAACTCAATCTCTTTCAAACTTTCACTCATACACACTTATAACACTGATTGCTGCGAAGTGAAAATTGTTTATTTAGTGGTGGCAGCAATGGTTGGGTCAGGTTGGATTTCTTTTCGACTTCTGTGGATTGTTTTCCGTTAAGCTCATTGATATTTTAGTGTTAAACTGGGTTGGGTTAGTTTTGGCTGGGCATTTGGATTTCCAAAACCTTTTCCACATTATCATGCCAAAGCAAATATTTTAAGGTTCAGATAATTTTAGTGTTAAACTGCGTTTTCTATTGAATTCATATCTGGTTCACTCAAGTTTTTTAGAAGGTTAGATGGGCTTATTTTGGTTATGTTAGCTTTTCTCACCTCAGCTCTTTGAATAAGTTGAGCTAGATACTGGTTATATATCAACTATAACCACTTAAAAGCATATAAAAACTGGTAACCTATATAGGTTATACTACTTAGAGCTTATTCTCTATTGTTTCTGACATTATTAGTCTTACATGTACAGTTAGAGGCAAATCTGCATCATCTTGCTCTTTCAACAGACTGGATGAAACATGTGGATTCTGCTGTCACTATGGGTTCAGCTTCTCATATTGTGATTGCTTCGAGTCGTGGATCTGCCAAGCATGGGATTGCAAGAACTTCGAATCCTGCTGTTGGACCAAGTATTTGTTGGTGGAGAGGTGGTACGTTTTCTCGTCAGTTGTTCAACTGGAAGGTTTTACCTCGCTCTTTGGTTTCCAAGGCCGCTAGGCAAGGTCTGCATTTTTCCTAGTGTTCTAAGTTTTTGGTTGGTATTGCTAAAAAAAAGAATAATGATTCTGAATTTCTTTAAAGTTTAAATTCTGCAGGTGGAGGCAAAAAGATACCAGGCATACTCTATCCCGAGAGTTCAGATTTTTCAAAGAGAAGCAAATCTGTTTCATGGCGAGCTGCTGTCGAGGCATCAACTAATGTGCAACAACTTGCTTTCCAGGTATGATTCCTTACCCCCTCGTGTCTTATTTGTAATAGATAATAGCTGCAAAAGTGGAGGGAAAATATTGATGCCCATCTTCCAGCTGTCTGTGTTGATTGAATTGTAAAGAAATGTAGGCTATTGACTTCAATCTTCATGCAGTTTTCTATTATTTTGTAATTCTTGCCATGTAGCTGCACTGATTGTAGGCATAATATCCTGTGGCTTAATTTTTTTTTCTTTCAAATATTGATTTCTTTCTCATGAGGCTACAGGGGGAAGACTATAACTATATATAAACCCATCAGGCTGTATGGATAAGACTATATATAACTTTGGAAAAATCCAAAGGGTTAATATGTAAAAAATAATTTATCACAATATAATGCATTAAAGCATTATTATTTTTTCCCTTAAAAGAAAAGAAGTATAGTTCCTTTTATTTTTTTTAATTTTATTGATTAAAAGCTTTAAATTGAAAAAAAAAAGTTTTAAGATAGAACATTGGGTCTTTTTTTTTTTGATAGGAATAGAAGGCCTCATTAAAAACCTCCCTCATAGTTGTCTCTTTAGAGGAGACAAGTAGCGGAAGGAGGAAAAGAGTGCATTAGTAGATTAATAACCAACAATTACATAAGATACCCAAACATTACAAAAGATTGCCTAAACAAAGAAACATAACCAAAATAAAGTGCCAAAAGCACAGCTCATAAAAACAAACTCCACACTCACTAACCAATTCCTGACTTAGCTAGACCATCAGCTTCCACATTAATACATCTGCTGATATGCCTAATAACAACATTATAAAGCCCAACTGACTTCTGAATTTCTGTAATAAAATCAACAAGGTGAACCGGGCAGAGATCCGGGCTGTTGATCCATTTCACTGCCAGAAACGAGTCACTTTCTAAAATCAGATTTCCTTTGTCCCTCCAAACTGAATCAAAAAACATATCTAACCCCACTTTGATCGCAAAAATCTCAGCTAGAATAGGAGAACAAGGTCCTAAAGCTGTAGAGAATGAAACCAGCTTGTTATTACAAGCATCTTTAAGAACTCCACCAATACCACTCCTTTTCCAGTCAAAATTGACTGCCCCATCAACATTCATCTTAAAGTACCCGGAAGGAGGAGGGCACCATTTTAATCTAGACAGTCGAAAATTAGAGGGGGATTTATGCTTATCCGCCAAAGTAAGATCTCCCACAAGGCTGTCCAAATGAATAGACAAATCCTTATTTTTTGCTAAAAACCATGATGCCACCCTATACCTCACCAAAAAGAACAAATTATCTTTGTCCATCTTGCCATTCTCA